TGCAGTACCCAAAAAGTTGTCGACTTTGCTGAAAAAAAAAAGCAACAGATTTTTAAATTACTATTGAAAAAGAGGACCGCTAAAAAAACCAAACAATATTTCACCCTGGAGCGAAGAGGGAAGTACACGGCCACTCCAACATGTGCGCCACGTATAAAAACTTGCTAAAGTCCTGTGGACGGTTGAAAAAACCTTTAGGAGCTTGATCAGCTGCAACCATCATTCTCGGCACTCGGGAATCGGAAGGGGAAAATAAAACCCATTTCCTGCTCCCATCGCCTAGTGGTTTTATCGTACCAGCAGCTATGCGACTGTGCTTTTTTTCTTTTATACCAACGACCTGAAAAAACGACGAACATTTAGTGCAGCTGATTTACAAAAATCCAGAATTATTTTACAACAGCTAATATAAAAGAGAATTGAAACGCATCTGTACAATTTTCTGAAAAAAAAAGAAACCTCGGCAGTTTTTTGAAGCAAAGAATCAGGCAAGTTATGATCTTCTACTGGAAGGTCATGAAGAAAATATATGCGGTTCCTAAGAAGATGATCAATTCAAAGAAATATAAAACAAAAATATTTTTTATAGAACAAAACACCTGATATTTCTACCTACAACACCATAATGTTGAGCCTTGATCACGGAGAAACCCAATGTGGTACACTACAGAAAAGCTTCAGAAATGGAAAAAAGGACATACTTTGGTGGTTTATCCGCAGCCTGAATACCGACTAGAATTTTCGGTTCAATCTTCGATTTATCGCTCTCCTTCTCCACCATCTAAAAGAAATATCTTAACATACAAATTTTCATCAACAAGGACATCAGTGGTTCACTTTCTGCAGGAAAAATAGAAAGCAAAGGGAACAGATACCTTCTCACGTATCAAAAAGAGCTCTTCCCTTGTATAAACCTTGGTGTTTGAGCCTTTCATATATGTTTCTAACTTATCATTTAACGGGGAGTTTAAATTAACTCCTTCCTAAAATACGACCCATCATATTATAATTGGAAAACAAAACCGCAAAAAAAAGTTCTCTAAAAATGAACAAACTTCAATCCTCCGGTAAATTACTCGCAACTGCATAGACTGAAAACAGTCTTCAACCAGTTTTTTTGAGCCGCCAAGGACTGAATAGGACAAAAAAGATATCAAATGCGAACAGCAGTAAGACAAAAGTTACATTCGGAACCGGAAGACTCAACTTCAAAACAACAAGCAAAAAGGGTAGTTAACATTGGTACATTAGAGACTTGTATAAGACTTTTTTCGTTCGTCTTCATGACCTTCACCTCCAACTTTTCTTGCTCTTGTACTGCCTTCTGCTTTTTCCAAGCTGAATACAAATCGGCGGAAACCTAATAAAAAGTACTTTAACAATAAGAAGTTTTAAGTTAATGAGCTTTAATACCTACAGCCCAGTCGCACCGTTCCTTTATCCTGAAGATGACTACGTCTCCTTGAAGAGCTCGATTCCTATCATGTAGACCGTAAATCAATATGTCAGCTTCTTCCTCGCCTTCAGGGTTATCCACAAATCCCTCTTCATATCTTCTCTGATTTATCCTCAACGTACTCTAAATGATGCATATTTCCACAACTTAAAAGAAAAAACGCAATGCACATTTCCAGTGCATGGTAAAGTGATGAAAGCAGGGCAAGATAAAGCACTAAATTTAGTCTCAAGATTGTTTTAGAGGTCGGCAATAAGTATGTGTTATTAATTACCGATATCGTATACAGTCTGGGGTGTAGAGAATCGATAAAACTATTAGTTTTGAGAAACAAACTTCAAAAAGTGTTTTGTCCGCAATTCCCTGTTGCACTTCTTCCCGCGACAAATGTGGGGTATAAAACATTTTTGGCTGATTAGTTTCTGACCCAACTGCAGATGCTCCATGGACCCTATAATTGTTCGTACCTCTGGGTCGAAGTGAAGTGCCAGTTTTAAGACATTTACCACCTAAAATTTTGAATCACAATAATTAAATGAAGTTACTGCGATAATCACAGACTAAACATGGTTCACGGAACTGTATGAAAAACTGTTCTTCAATTAAAACAAACTTGCCAAAAAAATAATAAGTACCAAATACCTCCTATTTTTGCAGCCATATCAAAACTCTGTTTAGAAAACTACCCTTCTACTATCAGAAGTGTTAGACGGGGACTGTTGAATGTGTTATGCCTCAAAAAATTCAATTTCTCGAACTCTAAAAAAAAACCATTACCGGTAACATTCATAGAGGTGAAGGACATACGTATGGATAAAAAGAATGATACGAAAAAAAGAGCAGTGCAAGAAAACCAAGCTTAAATGAACACTGCGTCAACATCCCGCTTTTTATACATACACAACTTACCGACAGGAGCGTATTATGAACTCCATACGGGCTACTAGACTATCACCGCCAAAAATCTCCACTGTTTGGCAGCATGACAATTTCGGCACACTTTAAAAAAGTCTATTTTAAAGCAGTGCCGAGAATAATTGTATGTAGTTTTGATGCCGCTTGCCCAGGAACTTCGACCAGCACCTCATTCCATGAAAATGTTACTCAGGGTTCTCTAACTACAAGTTACATGAGGCTTCAAAATATTGGTCTTTAGTAAAAACCTGTTTGGTCTCAGCTTCTTAG